TCTCCAGCCTGCTGCTACGATTCTGGGTGAACACGCTGAAGAACCCACAGCTCATCTTTGACGTACGGGTGTCAGACAACGTGGATGCCATTCTTGCCGTCATCGCCCAGACCTTCATCGACTCCTGTACAGTCTCAGAGCACAAAGTGGGCCGGGTGAGAGCAGAGCCAGCCCATGGCGGGTGGGTGCAGAGCCCTGGGTGGGGCTGGGAGGGATGGCGCATAGGGGGGACCAGGGGGAGGGGAATTGGTGGCGTGGTCAGGGTGACAGGGCCAGAGTTCCCCCACCTCCCCACTCACACCCCCCCTCCAATCTGGAGCAGGATTCCCCGGTGAACAAACTGCTCTACGCCCGGGAGATCCCTCGCTACAAGCAGATGGTGGAGAGGTAGGTGTCAGGGTGCACGGCTGGGGGTGGAGGCTGCCTGCCCCTAACTGTGTCCCCTCCTCCAGATACTACTCTGACATTCGCCAGAGCTCTCCAGCAAGCTACCAGGAGATGAATTCAGCTCTGGCCGAGCTCTCGGGGGTGAGGCATGGCCCAGGGACGCACCTCTCCACGGTTGGGGGACAGGGTGTAGGGGGAGGCTTGGGGCTGGAGGTCCAGGCTGGGGACTCACACCCTCCCCAATGTGCTGCCCCCAGAACTACACCTCTGCTCCCCACTGTCTGGAAGCCCTGCAAGAACTCTATAACCACATCCACAGGTATTATGACCAGGTGAGGTCAGGGTGCTCTAGGGGGGAGGGGCACTCCCCTGGGGGTGGAGGAGGTATCCAGGCCCACCCCTGCAGGCAGATGGGAGGAAGGGCCCAGGTTGGGAAGGGGCTTGGATTCTGTTTATTTAGTTAGTTAGTTAGTTTTAATATATTTTTATTGATTTCAGAGAGAGAGAGAAAAACATCAATGATGAGAGAGAATCATTGATCAGCTGCTTCCTACACACCCCACACTGGGGATTGAGCCCACAACCCGAGCATATGCCCTGACCTAGGATCGAACCGTGACCTCCTGGTTCATAGGTCGACGCTCAACCACTGAGCCACGCTGGCCGGGCTGGTTTCTGTTTAGATTCCCCAGGGAGGCCCAGGGCAGCCCTGCTGAGATACAAGCAGGGCTGGGTAGCACTGGGTCAGTGGGCAGAGGGCTGGGGGCTCATGTGGGGTGCCCTCCTCTGCCCCGGCAGATCATCAATGCCCTGGAGGGGGACCCTGTGGGCCAGAAGATGCAGCTGGCCTGCCGCCTGCAGCAGATCGCTGCCCTGGTGGAGAACAAGGTGACTGACCTGTGAGCTCAGGCCACAGTGGGTGCCTGAGGCCCATCAGCTTGGAGGGAAGCCAGCAGGACCCACCACCACAGTGCCTTATGACTCCTGGACCAAGCAGAAGAGGGGCTGCAGAGAGTGGGGGGGGGGGTCCCTGCAACCTCTCCTCCCCCACCCTTCCTCCCTGCCCCAGGCTTTTTTTCTAATTTATAGCAATCCTTCCCCCGCCTCCTCATTATATTTATTTGCTTGCTGGAAAGTTGCATCTGGAAATAAAGTCTTTTTAGGAAAAGCCCAGTCCCAGCCCCTTCCTTCCTCTGGAGTCTACATAGCCCTCTCCTCGGTGCCATGGCTGTGACTTCTGTTGCCTGAGGAAAAGAGGGGTCATGGGCATCCCCAGGCCTTGCTCTCCTCCCTCCCTTCGCCTCTACTGCCCCCTGCAGGAAAAGTGCTCCTGCCCCCTACCCCCATCTATGCCCACCCCGCCCTACTGCTCTTTCCTGGCTCAGGGACACAGGATCAAGTGTCTCCCATCCTGGGCTAACCATAGTCACTGCTAAGCCCCCATTTCATTCTGAGTCCTCAACAGTCCCCAGCTGGCCTCGAGGCTTCACCTTAAAAAAAATTAAA